ACTGCTGACGAGTCTCAAACAGGGCGAAATAGCTGTCCTTGTCGGTTATCACAAATATTCCCATCGCTAATCAATTGATTGGTCATTGAGTGTTTATCGATGCGTTCAAACTCAGAAGTGTGTGTGATCCGCCAAAATGTGGTTTTGCGTAACATGATGAAGAGCGTATGCTCCATAAGGAAAGGCCTTTCAATATGCTTGTTGTTATTTAGCAGTAACCAGTTAGCGCCACGTAGATTGCGAGAGGCCGCATTAACCTACGGCTTCTCGACGTAATGGGTAGATTCACATCTAATGACGTATGATTAATGGATAACGAATTGGAGCAATGAATAATGTAGCAGTCTTTGTTTTAAGGGTCAGTGCGTTTTGCTAAGCCGTTAAGAGAAGTATACGGAAAATTATGACGATTGCTAGGTGCGATTGTAGCGGTGAACCATAGCTCCAAAAGACCGAAGCAAGCAAACGTGTAATTGATATTCACGAAAGTCGGTTAGCACGAGCGGAAAAGCCTAAGAATGCAGAGGCGAGGCGGATGTTGGTAGCTTACCATCGTCATCATCATCTATTTATTTCAATTAGCACTACCCAACGTGCGATCGAGCGCGAACCTTCTCCCAAAAACTGTGTCGTCGGATATTTAATAGACGGAAACAAAGTTAAAGATTAGTCAAGGTTATTGCGCAGTAGACACCTCACCAACATCAGCATTTACAGTTCGTGCTAGTGACCTAAAGTCGGTTCCTCTTGTGCGTGCAAGAGAAGTAAAAGCTGAGGTTGTCTTCTGAATGCGTTTTACAGAACACCAGTCCAAGTGGCAGGTCCTGGATTTCAGTTAAATCACGATATCAGTTTGAAATATCTCTTGTAGATGACCGTGCAACTTGTGGCAGAAAACCTTTGGTTTTACTTACTTCTCCTCTGTAGCCATCGCCTTCATCCGCGTCTCCTGTGCCTGCTTTTCTTCTTCAGCGTACACCTTGTGTGATTTTGCCATCTCCTGAACACAAGCCGCCAAATCTCCCTAAGCAATATTGATAGAAAAGGATAACGGACGGAAATATGATAATCAAATTACACAAGAGCTCCAATATAGTAATAAACCGGTGTTGGATATACTGTTAAATGATTGCGCCTCGGGATGAGGATATCAGTGTTGGAGTGCTCTCCAAGGTGAGAATGTTGTCTGTAAACGCTTCGTTGCCAGTTTAGGTAATATCATCAGTATCCCGGAAAGTTCCAGGACGAGAGCGTGTTCTGAGCCTGAAGATCGAAGTGTCCTCGTTGTAATACCTGGACAATACTCAGGGTGGATGGGCTTCTTCAAATTAGCAGTGATAATGTTGCCTAACCTACCAACAAAACGTCTGCCAACAGCGTTCCCAACTCAGAGAACCGTCCATTACCAACAATAAACCGATGTATAAAATCACTTCTAGTTATGAAAGTAAAACAAGATACACCACTGAGAAGAAATGAAACGAAGTTGACCATCAACTGCAATGTAAAACAGAAAGGTTTCCTGGGGAAAGAACTTGTGCTTTTCTACCGATTCCGCAAGTTTTCATTATTTGGAACTGGGGAGGTGCGTGTTCTTGTATATTTTACATCCACTGATACAACTTCGCTAATCCGCCCTTAGGGTATTCCAGTTTTTTAACCTTCAAAACCAGTTGTCCTCAATCATGGTCAAACGGGCTGCGACAGACGGTATGGTGAGATCCTATACATACCAATCAACCTTCAATGACCTGACACCGGATAACTTCCAAATTGTAAAATCATTAACCCTGCCCACACATCACCTAATCCATCAATGTAATAGCCTCAAGCTATCCAGCCCTCAAAAGGCAGAACGGAAACTAGAGATACGGCCGGGTTCTAGATTACATGGGGAAATTATCGCATGCATCAAGATTCCGAATANNCGAATAAAATTCAAGGGATAGGTGGGTGTATGTGGTGTAGAATAATCCGTCAAGTTCCAATTCTTACGAATTCCTGTTTGTCATTAATTAGATGCAATGATGGTTCTGTGCGCACTATAACATACAATCAGATTCAAGGACATCTACAGAAAAGTATGTCGCATATCATTCCCAAAATGAATATTATCCCACAGATGAGAACCGACCGGTTGAAATAAGTACACCGATGGACTACCTCGCTTAAAAGATGCGAGCATCAGTCGGCAAAGCTATCATTTTCCATAAAGACCCGGGAACTAACCGAAACAAGAGCAGCAATAAACGGTGTACGAATTAAGACACACATTAACGTGACCGAGATCAACGAGATCCACGGAATATTAAACAGACCAACGGGACAACGAGTAGACGGTTTATACCGCCTGGCCTACACCACCACAGGAAAAAATAGCTGGTTTAATACCTCCTCAACCGCAAAAACTATAAACCGGATTAGAGGTCGTCGCAGGCGTAAACCTGCTAAACCGTAAGGAATAACCTTCACCTGGAGCTAGGATACTTGTGATCATACCGCTCCCGCAGCCCAGGATCAGACCTTCTGGAAAGTGGTAGACTAAAGTAATCAAACTGCGAGTTATTCAGTGCGGATGAACCACGAAGAAGTAAAAACACGTAAAAGTATTCGTAAATATCGTAATTCTGGCCTACATTCGTTGTCTAAGACAAGCAGATTAAAAATATTTGGAAAACAATAGTTGTACTCTAAGTATTAATAACCGGTTTCCGATAAAATGTTCTCACCTGAAGAATTCGAAGCTGTTCGAATACTCTCTTGCTGACAGATATTCGTTGGAGTTTCAACGGTTTCAGTTCATTGTGCAGTCGCTGTTGTGCATCCCCAGCTCGAATGCGGGAAAGCGCCAAATTGTTAGACTCCTCGAGGAGCGTGCGCCAGACCCGCCAAATGCTATACCCATTGGTACTGCACGTGTGGTGGATTAGAGGATAAGCGTAACTTACTATTCTTCATCGGTGGACAAAGCACATGCTAGTTCTTTCTTGGACAGAAAACCACTGGCCAGCTTTTGAAGCGCTTGACCGTAATCACGCTCAATAGCAGCGCGTTGCTTACAATACAGTCTGAAATAGTGGGACCGGAGAAAGATGCAGTCTTGGAACGGTACAGATTGGACGCATTACATGATTTGCCGCACACAATCCCGGTTGTAAACAGCTTGAAAAACTCATCGAACACTGAATGTGTGGGAACTCAAGCTAGGTGTAATAATTTGATAGGTGCAGGTGATTAGAAACAAGAACACTTTTTTGTGGTCACCCATTAAACAGAAGCCATGATTCCCGCTAGAACTGAAAGCAAATTGGGACCAGGTGAGGAATGCGATCAACGTGTCACTTACATCGCCAGCAGCTCGCTGCACAAGAGCATTCAGGAGAAATCTGACCAGAATCAAATGCTAACACCAAACAATCGCAATATTCTTCGCGAGTCACGTGCGTCTGCATTTTAGGGATAGTTAATAATAGTACGGGAGAGAACCGTTACTTCCTTGTGCACCAAATTAGAGGTACAAGTCGGATCCGTTAATCTATATACACCAGCGACGTACTGATATTCAATGAGTTAATACTTCGAGGCTCTCCGCTCAAAACAGCTTCCAGTGTGGAAGAAATCAGTGGAAGGAGTTCAACGTCCAAGCTAAGATTTTATAGTTCGTAAAGTTAGGCATAAAAACTAAGATACTTCATACTTCATACTTCCACAGTTGCATACAGGCATTCGTGAATTAATAATCCGTTTTATCACCAGCTTTCAAAGGTCATGCTGAAAACAAGTTTCCCAATATCGTAACACTAAAAGGATTTTATAATGAATGGATATGCTGAACTATCTCCCTCTGGATGATGAATCAGCCCCAAGGAAATAAGTCACACAGCTCCGTGGTAACAGGATAAGGAGCGGTGCTAACGGCATCTCATTCCATCTTTTTGTTCAAGGTTGCCAGTCTTTGCCCGTTCAAGCCTGGAGGTATTTCAGATGAGCCATTGACTTATTGTGCAGCTCATTCGCCTGTTCTGAAAACCATGTCCACGGTAGATGGATGGAACACGGCACGATCAGAGGTCTTGTTCAGTGACGGGCCGCAACCATCACGTCGCAGTGCGATAGATAGATTATTGTAGTGATTTTTAATAGCAGCGAAAGGCAAGTAAAAACTTACCATGTCCTCAAGCACAACCACGAATCAATGACAACCACCTAATTAGTGAGCTCAGGCTCACTGTGTTTAAGGTGAGCTACCGGGTTATTGGCCGATTTATTAATCGCAATCTGAAGACGCGCCCGGTAGCGCATAGCTTTGTTTTGGAGACGTCATTTATATCGCCTTGATAGATTCGCTTGAATTCGAAATTTTTGCATAATGGCTCACGAAAAGGCCAACGCTCACGTCGCCTTTTACAAAAAAATATATAAAGACTGCCGACAAGGGAACAGCCAGAAGGCTTTTCTTCGAGAAGAAGTTGGGGGGGGGGGAGATAACAGAGCTGATCGTCTGTAACAAGGATGTGGCTTTAGAGGTCTATGCGTAAAAAGCTGTAAGGCGGCAAATGAATTACAGTCTACCTTCATACAACCTTTAACTTGTGTATTAGCAGAACCAATAGCTGTTATATCAAGGCTTTCAGGCGATTGGAAGACAACAGCGGTGGTTGAACTACAAACGTCGAACCCCAGGGGTTAATTTTCTAACAATAGGTTTATTAGTTTAACATCGTTCTGCTTCAGGCGCATGGAAAGGATAGTCCACAAGCACATTTGTATCTTTGGCGACTCACAGAATCCTAACTGCCGATTCTGCTGGAACAACCGGCTGGGATTTCAAGGCTAAGCCACAAACAGCCTGGATGGAGGTTGCTATTTGAAGGTTTGCAACTAGGACTGGCATTGGTTTCCGAGAGACAGGCTACTGAATCCAAAAATACAGACACTGGACAAGAGGAAGGATTACACGATTGTTGATTATTCGTGAGGATTGGAAATTAGACAACCCAGTCAAAGAGTAGTACATGAGGTGTTTCGCAAGGTCCCGTATAAGGCCAGTTTCTGTTCCTAGACTTCATTAAAAATCCACCCCAAGAACACCAAAATCCTTCGTTTGTGTTCACCGATCATGTAAAATCGGCCTGAAAAGTGTCAGCTTCGGACACCAAAGATGTGACTCATCCGAAACACATATTTAAGGCAAATGGCCGGGGATTATTATCATGAATAATTTCAAGTCAACTTCGATATGCCAGAAAGCGGCCAATAAAGCACGACACGAGCTCCGCAGGTTGTGTCGTGATAAGCTGCAGAAAACCGTACATTTTTAAACAACCTTTGTCCGTTCACATTCAGAAAACTCCGTACAGGCGTAGGCGCCGTATTATAATAATGATGAACGCGGCCTCCTGAAAACGGTGATTAGCAGTAAAACTGATTCCAGGTTACTACGTTTTGGTTCACTTGAAATACTTCTTTTCGATCAGAGAACAATTATGAAAAAGACTTTGTTTAGTAATTGCGCTCTGACTGAAAATGGGAGATAGTTGACAACTATTTTATGTACATTTCATCGTTTCTCCTCATTGTGGTAAACACGACTAGCTCAGTATGAAAGTGTAAATATCATATATTGTATTTGGGATAGATAATGCACATTCAGGAACTTAAAATTAGCTAATCAAAGTTGGTACGAATATTGGTGATATATCCTGTTGTTGTGTGCTTTATTTCTTTAGGACGAATAAACTGGGGATACTGCAACAGAAAATGAATGAATGTCTATGTTGCACCAGTTTTTGAATATGAAAACAGGGCAAAACTCAAATACATGAGGTGTTCCGCAAAAAGAATAACAATCGAGATAAATGGTGTTAATAGAATGCAGTGCTCTACTGCGCGCGAAGAGGTTAATCCTAAGAAGTAAGGGGATAAATGAGGGCAAGACCATCCATCCTGTTGGTTAGGTAATCAGAATCATCATCATCATCATCGTACAGCGAAATACAGTGAAGCGAACTTCACTGATACAAGATTAGTGGTCAAATTTGAGGTGGACAGGAAGTGGACCTACTTTGAGGGAGGGAGAAAAAGTTGAACCACTATGGTCAAAACAGAGTGTACAATCGAACTCTCCATGCATACCGTTTCAAGAATTCCAGCTTAATAAGAAATGACAACAAGAACGCCACTGCTGTCGGTTCGATTCCATATCCTTCAATGTCTCCAACCAACCGGTTGTGGAGTCTTTCGCACCTCAACCTGGATGGCGAGAGACACCTACTCTACCTAATGGCTCTGTGCCGGTAATCAGAATACAATTATTTAAAACCGCGGATGGCATATAAGGGGAATTCAGCAAGCAATTCACGGGGCTACAAACATTCGTGAAACGAATGTATTTCATGTGAGTAATGCATTGGGCATTATTCATCCTTACGGTTGTAATAAAGTAAATTGTACGTGTATTGCACAGATCAACTAATCGTCCGAAGCTGCAAGTCAAGCTTGTTGCCAGCTGATTGAAAAGTAGCACACAGATATTTACAGGTGATGTGCAAATTAGATCATATTATTTGTACTCTCAGATGGGAGCAAAAAGTACTTGCATACTGCACATTAAAATAAAGAAATCTGTGAGAAGGATCAATATTGGCATTGAGACCGTTATTGTCGAAACATTACAAATCAAATTACCTAAACATGCATCCACATTTGTCTCCATAAATAATTTTATGTATCACGTGTACGCCAACGCACATTCACATGTAGTTATAATAAATATAGCAAACTCGGCGGTTTCCACAATCTTTCCCACAAGACATAAATAAAAAAATTAGCAATTTTGGGGCCTGATATTTCAGTAGGTAGACCGTGTACAGCATTCGTGCCAATGATTTCTATCGTGAGCCATATCTGTCTCTAATGCACGACAATAATCATACCTTGAGTCTGAACTAGGAAGACAATGCTGAGGCTAACATGTTTATAGCCCTGCACCAGATCAGTCTGGTAGCCATTTCGCCTCCTATTGTTGCCAAGGACGCACAAGGAATGCGGAGAGGTAGACGATGGACAAGTGAATGCAAAACATGTCCACGTTATCAGAAGTATTATGGAGCAATTTTCTTTTTCAGAGGCCAAACAAACGACAAACTATGATTATAGACACATTCCATCAGTTAGCCAGTTGTCGGGCCTAGAACATGTACATAATACTGTACTGTAGAGTTTTAGGCAACCGCGGTCACCCACTGGAGCAAGTGATTGACCACCAAAGATTGCGTTAGTTGGAGCATGCGTTACGCAAATCACCAAATAGGTTCCCACGGCGCGTGATGTGTGCCGAGGCAGGTAATGGATGAAACAAAGCCAAAGGTGGTCAAATTAAGACCTGGCACGGGGATGTGAAAACCCAAACCAGGAGACCAGGTCACATACGTCTCGTTAGGCCCGCTGATTGAGGACCTCGGGATGATCGTAACCGGTGATTAGACACACTAAGTGATATAGCAGTGTCGAAAACAATGGTGTTCGTACATCTTCTTAATCTCTTAGCAACCTTAGTCCACTGAAATCCTCCATTCGCTCTTCGACTCCATTTCGAACTTTCCTATTTTTCTCCTACAGTTCACCCAAACGATCAGCCAAAAGACAACAACCAAAACCGGCGCAAGAAAGTGCAGGGTTAATGATTGTACAAACTGAAACTGAACTGTACTGTACTTCTGAGTAATCTGAAAGTCTCCCTGAATAGTTTGGTTGTTATTGGAATAATTGGTGTGTTTTTCGCCTTTGAAGTGGAGAGTACTCTTACAAGATTGGGTTGGTTCAAATTTAAACCTCATACAAGAAGGGGAAGGGAAATCAAACGTTCAGCTATCCTGTATGTCGTTCCTGGTGGAAGAACCAAAGATGAAGTGCCAGTATGAATTGAAAAGGATTGGTTGAAATTCACAAAGTGAAGATAGTTCTGGCACCACCACAACCTCTGGTTATCTGTGAAGGTTCAAGTGCAAGCTGAAGCCGTACGGCATATCGGTTTGGTTAGCATAAGGCTGTTTCGAAAGAGGAATAAAAATGAACTACGAGTGTTTGAACACCGATGTGNAGCCGCACGGAACGGGCTTGGTGGAAGAACCGAAAAAGCGATGGCTAGATGAAGCGCAGAATGCTAGATACATGTGATCACGTACTTCACCGCCATAGTTTGCAGTGGTTGGAGAGTGTTAAGCATATCACCAGTTTGTATTCTTCGTTATGCGATGTTTGCCGATGCAGTTAGTGAGTAAAAGAAGGCTGGGTGTGATCAGAAGAATACGTGACATGATAGTGTGAAAACCCTGACCCGGGTGTTCAAACACATAAACCGTATTGGACTTCCT